GGTCCGATTCTTCCGGTTCCGACAAATGATTAATACATTATAAAAATACACCCACCTACCAAATTTGATCCGGATATCTCGAAAACTGAGAGACTAGATTGCATACAAACAGACAGACAGACGGACAGACGGATTTTTTTTTTTTTAATTTCTACACAAATGTCATGATTTTAACAAAGAAAGGAATCAGTGGGTATCCTAGAAACATGACAATCAAACTCATTTTTGTTTAGGAGAGTATGCGTAGGAAAAATATGCAGTTTTCATATATGCTGTTGATTAAATTACCTACATATTTCGACTAAACAAACTGGGAAGGAACTACACGTTTCTCAAGGAAATGGTTCTCTTCAAGATTTATTCGTTAACTCGGTGAAAATATTATAAATGGGAACTCCACTTCGTTTGGAAGAAAAGATATTTGCACAGGTTTCAGGGCTCTTTCCAAGTAAAAGTATTAAGGCGCTAATTGAGCTCGGTTTACCATTCAAAATTTCATTTCTTAATTGCTCGATTAGAGCTTAATTGAGTGCTAATTGAATGAACTTTTTCGTGCAACCCTGCTGTTTGTTTCTGGTCTTCTTTTTTTTTGCAGCTACTATCCATCAGGGATGGAAAATTTAATTTTCAAATTGTACCCAATCTGCGTAAAAAGTTTACCTAAAAGCAGTTAAATGTACCTAAAACGTAAATATGTATTTTTATATTTACATTTACATACAATCTGCGTCAAAATTATACCAAAATTTAATGGGATACAAAACTGAATATCCAAAAAATAAATAAAAACTTAATTGACTGAAATAAATTACTGTCTGAACTAAATATAACAGTTTATTATTATTATTTACTTTATTTATTTTATTACATATCATATTTGCTTACATATTCTGCTGTAGGTGGTCCCTTATTCGAACTCCATCAGACATAACTTCAAAATGATAATATAAAATTTCAATTTTTTTTTGTCCTGAATTCGAAGAAGTATTTGCGAAGTGCAGGATATTTAAATAGAAACGCGTTTAAAGAAAACATACTCCTGCATTACTTGTCAACTAGTTTCAAGTAAGCTTTTTGTAGCTAACTACAAGTTAGTTACCCTGCAGTGAAAAATTATCAATTGTTAAAACTAACCAACTTATTGTTAGCTTTTTGGCGAGATTTCGATTAATACCTCACTTTTAATTAGCTATGACAAAACCAACTTAAAGTGAATTGTAAAGTCGTGCAGGAGTCAAGCAGACGCAATCGGGAGTTGGTTTTCTTTACAAGTTTCTATTAAATATCCTCATACAAAAATTACTTTCAATACACTTTTTTTCTGAACTTCGCAGATTCTTTTTCATATTCAGGACAAATAAAAGGAAGATCGAAATTTTATACTATCATTTTGAAGTTATGTCTGACGGTGTTCGAATATGGGGCCACCCAGAGCAGAATATGTAAACAAATATGAAATGTAATAAAATAAAGTAAATAAATAAGTAAATAAAAAAGTAAAAAAACAAGAAAAATATTTTGTTTTTCTTATTGATATTTTATGTCCAAAAGTTGTTAGTTACAAGTTAGTTGACATGTAATGCAGAGGTATCCAGGTCTGACTTTTTTGCGGCCATCGCCCCACAAAAGTAGTTAGCTTTTTTCGAACAAAATACACAGTTAATAGTTAGCACTAGTGTTCGCGTAAACAGACTAAAGTTAGGTATAAGCTAACGTCACTCCCTGCAGGGTAATAATCATCCACCATTGCTGCCACTTATTGAATGATATCGGATAAGTATGTATGCAAGTTATTTAGTTGTGGGTACCAAAAAGTCTCATTTTAGGGGCGTTTTAAGAAGTGTCTTTGGAAAAGGGTTGCCAACTAAAAACAAAAAATAAAAAGGTATTAGACAGAAAAAAAAATCATTTTTACTTAGCGTGCTGCAGTTAAATTGTGAAATGAAGGGAATCGGGAATACTTATATTTAAAAATAGTTGCCACCTAGGCAAATATTTACAACCGAGTTGTGCCTAATTCGCAGTTGTTTGGAGGTTATTTTTTAGAAAACTTTAAAAAGCCTTGAAAGGGGAAGTGAAAAGCATTATCACTGTCACTATTCAAAGGAAAACTTGAAAAAACAAAATTAGACAAACTTTTTTTTGCTGGTAACACTAACACTGTAGGGTAAATCTCAAGTGTTGATATGACACAAAAAGACACCAAAACACGTAAACTCAATTTTGGGTCGTAGATTAAATTTGTATTGTTAAAAGAAAGTGCGTTTTTGTTGAAATATGAGCAGGAAAAAATGTTACTCATACGCCGCATCGTATTGGCCGCACTCGTACATACTCATACATGGCGTTAAAGTTTGATTTTTGTTTTTTTATTCATTATGCAAACTCTGGATTGTAAATTTTTGACAACTATGAGGTGAAATATAATAAATGCAGTCCTAGAAGAATTCAAATCTGTAAAGACAAATATTTTTTTTTATATAATTGCTGCATTTTAATAAGTCAGCTTCTTTTGTAACAGAATAAATTTCCAGCAGTAAAAAATTGCGAATTGCCACAGCAGAAATGTAAATTTTTTTTACCATAGTAGAAAGTTATTTCGCAATAGAATTTTTCTGCTGATTGGCACAGGCCCTTACAATGAAAAGTGGGGAAGTTTGGGAAGTGACTTGTTAAAGAAAAACGATATGCAGATCCGTGATCCACAACCCAAAAGTAAGTACGTGTCTCGGTGTTTTTTGTTTTTGTCATTTTAGCGTTCCTTCACCAATTGGGTACGAGTGGACTTTTATCGAGCTTGAATCTTCATAAAAGTCTTGCGTACATATATATGTACATATGTAGATGTGTGTAAACTGCATTACTGTGCATCTTTACGTATTCATTTGTATATATGTATGTGTAAGTATATGCATTTCAGGATACATCAGGAAATTCACTTGTGAGGCATAGCTGTGGTTAAGCCATTGCATGCTTGCAATGTTTAAAAGGGAAAACTTATTAAACTAAACTTTGAAAGTGCATTCCAATGCAACTACTATCGCACGTAGATATGTAAATCGTATCAAAATATGTCGACGTGTATATTTCATATGGTTAACACACATGTTTTGTCGGTTGACAACAATATATTTATGTATATACATATCATACATACATACATATGTATGTATATAGTTGTAACATAGTGTCAGGATAACATATGTACGATCAAAGTAATTGTTGATTTCTATTTGCCTGCGTACAAGTAAATGTGCATGTAGGCCACAAAATTCAAAAACAATAAATGGCTGTCGCTTTTGGCATACAAATTTAATCTTTTTGTTTGTTAGAATCAAAACAATTTGCAAACAAGTCAATTATCTAAATTTTTTTTGTCATGCGATTGTAATCGATTTTATCTGACCACTTTTCATATTCCAACAAATTTTCAGAATTTTGTATTTATATTTATTTATTAATTCTTGTATCTTGTTTTATTTTCATTGCAGGAAGTTGGCAGCATTATTGGCAAAAAAGGAGAGATTGTGAACAGATTTCGTGAGGAGGTATTAGAAAAAATTTAATTGTTTTCCGCTCAAAATAAAATTTTGCTATGTTCAAAATCTCCTTACAGTCTGGCGCAAAAATCAACATCTCGGACGGTTCATGCCCGGAGCGCATTGTCACTGTATCTGGTACGACCAGCGCGATCTTCTCGGCTTTCACGCTCATCACAAAGAAGTTTGAAGAGGTAATGTAGTTGTGTTTATAGATTTCAACATAAGGGTGGCTGGTTAAAATTTTTAAGTTTTGATAAAAGTGCATTTCGGTTAAAAATTTTTTTTTTTTTTTGTAGTTATATTTATCTCTAAAACTCTATCCTCAAAACAGTCCGTGTTTACCACACCAATAAAAAAAAAACTACAATGGGTATGCCTCCAAAATTGATCCTAAAAGATTATTGAATCATTCATTATGGAATGCTGACTCTCAAAAATCGTTCAATGGCACATGTTGAGAGTGCAAATTTTGCTATCAAAACTACATTCGTTCGAAACAAAACAACTAAAAAGATTAATTAAAATAGTGTCAATCGCTGAGTATTTTTTCCGTAAGACAATTGTCTAATATTTACCAGCACGAAAATGTCTTCTTTTGAGGCATTTTCAAGCATGGAAGGCCAAAAGACTAACTTGGTCATATTGGACCGTGTGAATAAAAACTAAGAAATTGCTTTTTCTAAAGTTCCATACCTTTTACTTCAATTTTGCTTGAGTAAATCGCGTAAAAGGTGTGAAATTTTAAGAAAATCAATTGCCTATTTTTATTCATTCGGCCCATTTTCTCGTACTTTACGTCTCAAATTTGTAAATTAAAAAAAAAAACGTCTTTTTCATCTTTTTTTTTTTTGATCCACTAAAGCTGTTCTCCGAGTTTATATTATGTTTACTTTTAATGTAGCGCTGAACGCCTGCAAAAAAAAATTGTCTGCTAAGGACTAGCTGAATTGTGTATAACCCCTCTACCGGCCTATTCCAAACCTTAGCCAAAAAGAATCGTCTAGCCAGTCTGCTCTGGCTGAAATGAAAATGACTGAATACACAGTGTCATAGACAGAAATAAACATGCCTTTGCTGGCTTTAGGAATTTCTAGGGCTTTTCGACAGTTCTAGTTATGGCATTTCGGCTTCGAAGTACCTACGCCATACAGGTTGAGAATGCACTCGCAATGCTTGGAGCTAGGACTAATGTTGCTAGCCTTTGGAGTAGTGCTGTCTCTGTGAGGCCAGTTAAAGGGTTTGCGCGGCTTGTAATCTTCTCGATTACCCTTCCTTAGGGAAGCTTAACGAATCAGGTACTCCGACGATTTCGTATACTGATGGTCTTTGCATTGCCATTGGTGGTAGTAATCAACAAGTGCTCTGCTGTCGGATGCAGTCCGAATTGGGTACTAGTGTTGGGGAGGTCTTGGGGTTCATTCCTCAATTGATTTGATAAATACTGACATTGTCAGGACGTATTTCCTATATTGGGCGGTAAGGGCTACTGCGCTGGAGAAGTGACTGGAAAGGCTGTGGTACTTCATTTCGCTGAAAAGCTAGGATTATTGAGTCTGTTTCGGTATGTCATTCCTGATCAGACAAGAGTGCACTTTGTTAGGTGGGACGGGGTCGCATCTTATGCTATCTTTGTCTACACTACACTCGAATGGACGCATCTCTTTCCCAAAACGGAATATATTTAACCCTCGTTCCCTCTTGGTGGAAACATTACCGTCTTTTCGGATAGCCAATCAGCTTTTGAGGTATGCTCGTCTGAGTGGGGAAAATTCAAAATTAGGTGCGGCACCACAAACAGAGTAATCGTGCCATAGTCGCGACACCTGCCGACACTCTAAAATATTCTCTGACGCCCCACATTCCCTTTAACAAGTACGCTAGGAAAATCGGTATAAAAGATTCAGCTTTGATGTGAAATGTTAGTCGAAGTCCGCAAGACTATGGAACGCAGTTGAATGTCCAGCATTCGATCGGATAAGGTATAGTACATATATGCTTCGGCGGACCAATCGTCATGGATACTGATCTCAGGGACCACAGCGTAATAAAAGTTCATTACTTTTACAAAAGCGACTTTCCGACATGTTGAGCTAGGGGAGGGCACTTTACTGAGGTAACTGCAATGAACCGACGTCAAAGTTACTGCGATAGGTCACTTTGGCTCCTAAAATAAAAAATATGCATGTTGTTGAATGAAATGATGTATATTCTTAGGCTTTGTTTTTTTTTCTAATCTAGCAAATTGTTAAGATTAACAAACATGTTTGCGTAATCAATAAAGAAGCCAATTTATAAAATTTCCAAATTCAGCAGCGAGAAATATTAATACCAAATTCGTGGTTTTACTGAAGAAGGGCTTTAAAGTGGTGGGACCCAAGCCCAGCGCGCACGAGGTTTCTAGCCTTCTCAGTTTAGACCGCTATCAAACGGGTGTTTAGTCGGTACCCAGAGCTTTCCGAACTTATGTGTACTTCTGCGCACGGAACCATCCTCCATTACCAAAACTCCTACACAAAGAATTNGCTTTCCGAACTTATGTGTACTTCTGCGCACGGAACCATCCTCCATTACCCACAAAGAATGTATTAGTATTAGAATCGTTTTGAGACGCTTTATAAATAGAAAATTTTTATTTTGTGAAAATTCAAATCTATTAATTTTAGTTTTTTGAACATACATACATATGTATGTACATAACTTTAAATTTAAAAGCTACTTTTGCGTATAATGGAAAGTACATATTTTTCTCTAAATAACACCGCCACCTTTTTTCTATCTTACCATTACTTGTTTGCATATTTAATACTTACAATTCTTTTTAGTGGTGCTCACAGTTCAGTGATGTTGGCAAGGTTGGCAAAACTCAAATACCGATACGTTTAATTGTGCCCGCCAGTCAATGTGGATCGTTAATTGGTAAAATACTTGCACACATACATACATATATACAAACATAGTTATCTTTTCTNTTGGTAAAATACTTGCACACATACATACATATATACAAACATAGTTATCTGTTCTAACTAGGCACATTTGCAGTAATGTAATTGAAATATCTTCTCTTTTTTTTGCTTTCTCTATTTGCCCTCCTCGCCATCTCTATGCAGGCAAAAGTGGCTCAAAAATCAAGGAAATACGTCAATCCACTGGCTGTTCGATTCAGGTTGCCAGTGAAATGTTGCCAAATTCAACAGAACGAGCCGTTACTTTGAGCGGCACTGCCGAGCAAATAACCCAATGTATCTATCAGATTTGTCTCGTTATGCTGGAGGTGAGTATTGAATTAAAGTGCTGGCATAGTGGAATGGCATACACACATAGATACACACACTTACGCGCAAACCTATAGGCTGGAGTACTTACTTAGATGCAAAATAGTTAAAAAATACCTATGCATTATAAGTGTAGGTGAGTTCGGCTGTGTATACGTGTGTGTGTGCCAGTATAAATGCACTTTGCTCGATTTAATTAAATTTGCTATGTATATTCTCTAAACCCCT